TGCTCGCCGCCAGCAACAGCACCACGATGCTGAAGGAGCTGAAGGATCCGCTGAAGGCCGCCTTCGAGTTGCGCGAGATCAAGCCGGTCGAAAAGTACCTCGGTTGGGAGATCGTGTGCGACAGGCCGACGAGGAAGCTGTGGGTCCACAAGCAGACTTACGTCGACAAGCTGCGTCGGCGCTTCATTGACGAGGAGCAGGGCGGTCGAATCCCAAAGACGCCGGTCGCCGTCGACGCCTAAACCGAGCTGACGTTCAACAACGAGGACGCTCAGGTGCGCGAAGAGGAGGAGTACCGGCAGAAGGTCGGCTCGCTACAATTTGCGGCGACGACGACGAGGCCGGACATCACCTTCGCATGCAGCAAGCTGGGGGGCGGCTTGACGGTGAGGAGCGACCAGCACTGGCGTGAGGTCGACCGCTGCCTCGCCTACCTCGCCAACACCCGTGACGCCGCCCTGGAGTTCGTCGGTGGACCAGAGTCGCTGAGTCTGGTCAGCTACGTGGACGCCGGCGATGTCGGCGACAAGCAGAACAAGACGAGCACGGGCGGCTACGTGTTCGTCTTTGGAGGGGTCACCGTCTCCTGGACGAGCCAGTGCATCAAGTGCGCGATGCTCTCGTCGACTTAGTCGGAGTACGTGGCGGCCACTGAGGCAAGGAGGGGCGCCGACTTCGTTTCCTCCTTGCAAAGTTACAGCTGCTGGATGCTGGGACGTCGACTGTCCTTCGTGTGGACAACACGTCGGCCATCACGGTCACCGAAGGCTTGGGGCTGAAGGGCAACCTCAAGCGCATGGAGCGGCGATATGCCTGGCTGCAGCAGATGGTGAAGTGCGGGAAGTTCGTGCTGAAGTACATCCCAACCACCGAGCAGCCAGCCAACTTCCTGACAATGGCGCTGCACTTTCCGGCCTTCAACCGGTGCTCCATCGCAATCGGCCAAGTGCGCTTGGCCGACGTCGGTGACAGTGACGACGACGTGCAGCTGTAGGTGCCATGCCCTCTTGCATGGCTGGTGCGCTGACTGGCGTGCTGTGTGTTGGGTGCACGCCGACGACGATGAGTCCCTTGGGACTTGGCCAGCCCTAGTGTGGGTTGCCCAAGCGTGAACGCGGCAGGGGAGTGTTAACGGGAGTTAGGTGTTGACATCGTCCTCGCTTGGGCGGAGCCGAATTCGTGGTCGGATGTGCGGGAGGTGCAGCCGATCTGCTGCAGTGGGCGACGCATACTTGGTCGAGCAGGTCCACGGACCTCGTCGACCTGCACGTGGCTACTGCGACGCCGCCGACGACGGGAAGCCGGCGGCCGACTTCGACTGGGAGATCGACGAATTGACTCCTCGACCTGGGAGGGAGTCGCCTACTTGCGGGCGCCAACTTCGGGAGGCCGACTTGGCGAAGTCGGCGGACAGCCTCACGGTGGTCGGCGAATGGGTCGTCGACCTGCAGGGTGGCCGACTTGGTGAAGTCGATTGGTGGCCGTCGACCTAGGTGGTCGACGAGCACGTACAGCTGTTGGTCGACTTCTACCGAGCAGGTCGACGCCGACCTGGTGGTTTCCAGGTCGAGCAAGTAATCAGGGCGATGATGTGCTGCGGGGTGCGCACCCGTCGCCCAGGAGGTTTTGACAAAGTCGACCTGCAGGCTGGTATCCCGACGTCGACGTGACACATCAGGCGCAACCGTCGGCACGTGGCCGACTTGGCACCTGCGCAATGTGCATGGTGGTGTACGTCGTGCTCAACCGTCACCTGGCACCTGCGAAGTAGGTGCGCACACATGCGCACAATGACACCTGCCGTTGCAACGTTGACAAGCCGCCTCGCTGCAGCGTTGGCAATCCGCCTTGGTGCAGCGCTGGCAAGCCGCCGACTTGCTACGATGGCAAGTCGCCACTTTGCAGCCGCAGCGCTGGAGCGCGGTCGACTTTGCAGTGCTGGCAGGTCGCCAACCTTGCTGCGCTGGAGGTCGACCTGCCTGTGTGCTAGGCAGACTTGCTTCTGACGTAGGCATTCTTGCCATCTTTGTTGCTATCATTGTTCTGAACTTTCTCTATTGAAACTCTTGCCAATTCTCGTTGTGAGTGCGCAAGTAGAGAGAATGCTAAGGAACGCTAAGATCACTCACACAACCGTGCCTTCCCCCGTAGTCTAGCTCCCATTGTAAAGTTTATCTCCGCAACCACTAGTCTCAAAGGGCTCGTCTCGAAGAGGAGCAGTGAGTCTGTGGTCAACTGTAAGAGGAGTGGGCTGTGCGGTGGAGAACTGAAGCTCGAACCGCTGAAGGACGTGCTGCAATATGTGTGACTGAGTCAGTGTGATGGTGCGAGCAACTCTGTCCCTAGTGATCCGCAAGCCAAGGTAGCGGCGCAATTCACCAAGGTCGGTGCACTTGTGTCTCTTCTGTGGTTCGGACTTCACGAAAGCCTTAGCAGCCCTGTCTGCTATGGCGAAAACCAAATCGTCGACGTAGATGAGAACGGAGAAGAGAGTGGGGCCAGAACGTACAAGCAGTGAGGGTTCGGCGAACGAAGGACTGAACTCAAGGTCAGCAAGAGTGGTGCGCAGTGTGTCGTGCCACTCACGAGGTGCCTGGCGGAGTCCGTAGACTGGTCGTCTCAGGCTCCACAATGTATCTATTATCAGGGTGTAAATGCATTAGACCCTGTAGTTAATTATGTGTGTTGTATATTCTCATAGAGAACAATCAGAAACTATTGTTACAACTTGAACTGAACATTTCCAATATCGTATCAGGGGTACACACGCTGGCGCAAGAACAGAGTGTGGCGCTATACCTTGTTAAATATCCATATATATATGTAAATATATATATAACCAACCAACAAAATATACAAAACAAAACAAACAAACAAACAAACAAACAAACAAACAAACAAACAAACAAACAAACAAACAAACACGTGCCTGGTGGCGCGACCGTCTACCTGCACCTACTTGGTAGGTGCGCACATGCGCAGAAGTTCACCTGCCTCTGCAGCGCTGGCAGACTGCTGCGATGCAACGCTGACAGACTACTCTGCTGCAGCGTTGGCAAGCCGCTCTTCTGCTGCGCTGGCAGAGTTCGCTCCGCAGAGAGCTTGCTAGGTGTTGGAGTGTCATTCTAGCTATATCGACTTGCATGCCTCATTGTAATCCAATGTTCTCTCAATTTCTTAGTGAAACTCTTGCAAAATTTCCATGTGAACAAAAAAAGTTTTGAGAACGCCTAGTGCAACGCTACGATCACCCGCACAACTCCGTGCCTTCCTCCGTAGTCCACTCCCGTTGTGTAGTGACTCTCCGCAATGCCTACATTCCGGGGGAGACGGTACACTGTTAAACATTTTTACACAAAAAAAAACGAACAAAGATTAAGTGTACTCTCTGCTCAGGGTCACCCTTCAACTCCCTTACTCGACAACCCATTCCATCCATCCCACTCGTACTAGACCGAGCGTTGACATTTTTTTGTTAAACCCTCGGCCACAGCCAGCCCAGCTCAGTTGCCAGCTTTGTTCTGGATCGGGACTGGTCTCTCAACTGAACCAGCAATTGTCGTCTTCGTCAATTGGGTCCTCGTCAACCCTTTTCCTTTGACCATTTTGGGTCTTTGTGTTGTGTGGATATTGGAGGGGAAGCGGGGTTAAGGTTGAGGACGGTGGAAGGGGAGGGGCGGGGTGCCAGGTCTCGTGTATTTTAAGTTTTGAGATGCCCTGAATCTCGCAAAAAAATAGTACAGAAGGAAACTGCTTCAGGGGTCTACGCATATTCAAGACAAATGTATATTTGTGGAGAAATGCCATTGGCGGTAAAACTCTGAGCCTCGGAGCGCTTTCGACGTGGCGGACATGTGGACTGTGGTTTTCCGGTGCCATGGGCAAGATTACCTTTCTGTGGTTGGTCTTGCTCATCCTTGGGCCTCCCCTCGCGTTGCGCCCGAACTTCCCCTTCTCTACCCGCGGTTTTTTTTCACCTTTGTCCCCCAAAACAGTTCGTCCTCACTTCCTTTCTCCTTCCTCATTATCCCCGCGCCTACCTCACCTATTTACGATCCCGCCCCTTTCCCTCCCCCCCCTCTCCCCCCCCCCCCACACTCACCTCTCTTCGCCACACCTCCCACCACCCCCTCATTCAAGGCGTGTAACTTTTCCTCATAATAATTACAGTCGGAGCAGAAATCGTAGTTTCGCGAACTATTCTGATCTCGTCGGAAGTGCTGTGATGCCAAAGCTCGGTATTCTCATCCGTAACATGTGCATTGGGTGATTAAACTAAAGCCGACAATCGACTCTGTTACAGGAGGGTTCAAGCACTTCAAATTCAGGTTCATCCTCGAACAGAAGACAATCGCAAATGGTCGATCGGCTCATATGTGACACGGCCGATCGGCTCATATGTGACACGCTCTTGCTTGAAAGTGATCCAGCCGGGCCAGTTTCCAGCCCACTAATTCCCCCCCCTCTCCCCCGATGCCTCCCCCTCTCCCCCGAAGCCTGTCCCTTCTGCTCCGCTCCCCCCGCCTGGACCTTGGACCTCCCTGAATCGCTTCCCTTCAAGAGCCGCGGTGCCATCTGGTCTGGACTCTGGACTCGCTGCTGGACTCTGGACTAGGGCACTGTGTGGCCTCCTCCGCCATGTACTACCTTCATCCTCTAAACAAAAAGTCGGAAAAAGTTCTGTGTTGTTTCGTAAATCGTTTCTCGCTCTTAGGCGGCGTGGTTCATTCTACTGTCAACACAGGTCAAACCTGCATTCACACAGTAGCCGTAGTATCGTTGCGGCGAGCATTACAGCTCTATACGCTTATCTGGCCGTCTCGTGCGACGACTCTTGGTTGCGCGTTAGTCACGTCAAACGTCAACTGCCTTATACCTTAGGGTTGGACCTTCGCGAACGTGCGGTAAGACACAGTGGGATCTCAAAAGCGAGGCGAGGGAAGCCTGAGAACAATTGGCGACGTGAAATGGGAGAATTTTGATGCGCCCTGCTTAAAGAAATGATGACGATGTCGAATAGCGGTGCGACGAAAAGCGGTGCAATGGCGAATGGCGGTGCAGCGGCGATTAACGGTGGAGCGACGATTGGCGGTGGAGCGGCGGCGGATAAAAGCGGCGCCGCGACGGGTTTCGGAGGCAGCGGCGAAGCTAGGGGTGGCGGGAAGTCAGGGACGAGCGCGGGAACCGGCGACGGCAACGGGTCGACGGAAGAAGGAGCTTCGGTGGGGAAGAAGTCGGGGGGCACGAGGCGGCTGGCGGAACGCGGAGCGGACGGGAGGCGGCCGCGCAAGCGGTGCAAGCTGGTGCTGTTCGAGAGCCGGCTGCCGCGCGACGGGTTCGTGTGGCTCAAGTACGGCCAGAAGGAGCTGTCGGGCGGCACCATGACGAGGTGCGTCGCACGATCGCGAATTGTCGCACACAATGACTGGTACCTTCGCGCACAATCACGGATATTGTCGCATGCAATCATCACGAAAGTTTGACGCACGCAATCACGGGATACTGTCGCACACCATCATGGCTGGGTACGTCGCGCGCTCCGACGGGGTATCGTCGCACACAACACGGAAACACACAATCACAGGATATCGTCGCACGCAATGACGAGGTATCGTCGCCGCGCGACGAGGTTTCGTCGCAAAGAATGACGGTATCGTCGCTCGCACCGCGCGCTAACGCATAACACCACACGACCTTTGCCATGCCCGTTGCCGCAAATCACCCGCGCGCTTCTGACAACTTCCGGCCCAACGCGGCCTTCACGTGTCTCCTTTGAAAGGCGCCGTGCCTCGTCGCTCCCAGTGCTGCTCTGCCTTCCCCTCTTTCCCCCTCGTTCCCCCTCCCATCCCGCACCTTATAGCTACTAGTAACGCCCTTCCCTCTTGCCCCCTCCCCTTCCGCTCTGCTGGCGCGCTCCCCGCTCCCCGTGCTGGTGGCGGCAGGCACTACTTCAAGTGCAACGCGGCGGACTCGGCGGCTGCGTGCGAGGCGAAGCGCATCGTGGACTACAACAAGGTGGACCCGCGGCACCCCATCCGCGTCTCCACCACCGGCGCGCACAACCACGACGCGCCCGCCGCCCCGCTCGGCCTCAGCCTGTGCCGGGAGGGGGAGACGGCGGGCGAGGGGTGCGTGGGGGGCGCGGGGGGCGAAGGGGACGAGGGGGAAGAGGGGGAGGAATATTATGAGAGAACGGGAGAAGATCGGGAGTGGGGGGAAGAGGAGGAGTACTATCAGCAGCCGCCGCCGCCCCCGCCATTGCCGCTACCACAGGCGCCGGCACTGCCGCCGCCGCCCCCGCAGCAGCAGCAGCAGCAGCGGTCCCCTCTGATGCATCAACTGTCGGCTCCTGTTGGATTCTCCGCCTCCCACTCCCACTCCCCGCACGCCTCCTCCCTCCCGCCCTCACAAGCGTTCGCACACGGCGACCGGCTGGCGCTCTCAAACCCGCGCACCCACTCCGAGCCCTCCGCGCCCCCTTGCTCCCCCTCCCACCTGCCCCTGCACGCCCCTCCGCCGCCGCCCAACGCTCTTCCAAACCAACCCGGCGGGGCCCTGGCTGCGTTTCCGCAGCAACAAATATCCTCGCTACAAGCACAGGACGTATCCTCGCTGCAGCGACAATCCCCCTTACAGCGTCAATTCTCGTTGAAGCAACAAGACATTTCTTCATTACAGCCACAAGCCCTGTCCTCCTTACAGCGCCAGCCCTCGTTACAGCCACAGGCCCTGTCCGCCTTACAGCGGCAGTCCGCGCTACAACCCGGCTCAATGCTTCCAGGAGTGGGGTGCGCGAGAGGCAGAGTGCGCATGGGCAGTGCGCTGACGGCTCTGGCATGGCGGCAGGGGGGAGAGCTGGAGGGGCAGCACGGAGGGCAGGGGCAAGGGTGGCGGGAGCAAGGGGGGCATGAGCAGGGGCGGCAGGAGCAGGGGCGGCAGGAGGAGGGGCGGCAGGAGCAAGGGCGGCAGGAGCAGGGGCGGCAGGAGCAGGGGCGGCAGGAGCAGGGGCGGCAGGAGCAGGGGCGGCAGGAGCAGGGGCGTGTGGGAGACACGGCAGGAGTGTCGGAGGCCGCTCAACGGGGCAGGCAAGCCGTGTCGCCCCCTCTGCCCACACCCATGCCGCCCGCACCCATGCCCACACCCATGCCCGCGCCCATGCCAGCAGCGGTGCCAGCAGCAATATCTGGAGTGGGCAGGGAGGGTGGAGCAGGGGATTGGCTTGCGGAGCGACAAACAGCAAGAGCGGCAGAAGCATCTGACAGGCAGCCGCGGCCGCTTGGGCGCACAGCATCTGCACCCGTGGGGCGGATTGGGGCGGCGGAGGGGGGTGGGGGAGCGGCGGGTGGGGGGCGAGGGGGGCCTCGGCAGGCGTTTGGCGTGGATTGCTCCATGCCTCTGCTGCAGCAGTGGCTGCAACACCGCGCCACACAAACGCAGCAACAGCAGCCGCTGAGCCCACCGCAGCCGCCAAGCCTTCCACAGCAGCAAAGAATCCAGCGGCCACCTTCACAGCAGCCGCAGCAGCAGCAGCAGCAGCAGCGAACACAAGAAGCGGCGGGAGCACCGACGGGTGATGGACACCCCATGGGAGCAATGAGACGGCACGAGGACGGTGCGATGGGAGCAGTGGCGACGGCAGGCGCAGGTGAGGCAGCAGAGGGAGCGCCTCAACGGCGGTTGGTGCGGCAGGGCCAGGCACAGGTGGCAGAGGCACAGCAGGCAGCACAGGTGGTAGCGCAAGCACAGCCCAGGCAGGCATCACACAAAGCAGCAGCACCACTAGAGGCAGAAGTGACAACCCGAGGCACCATTCCTGATCACGCTGCGCATGTCCCACGCTCAGCGCTGCCAGGGTCAGCGGCGCCGCACGCGGCGGTGGCAGCGCGGGTGGAGGCGCTGCAGCGGCAGCAGGAGGAGGCGACGAGGCGGGAGGCGGAGGCGGCAGCAGCGGTGCGGCAGCTGGAGCAGCAGCTGGAGCAGCAGCGCGCCGCCGCCGCCCACGCACGCGCCCGCGCTGCTGCCGCCCAGGCGGAGGCCGAGACAAAGCTGGCCGCCCTGCGGAGACAGCTGCTGGCGGAGCAGAGCCCCCGGGAGGGGGGAGTGGCGGCTGGAGTGGTGGTGGCCGGGGGTATAGGGTCGGGGGCAGGGGCTGGGGTGGTGGTAAAGGAAGAGGCGAGGGGCGAGGAGGCAGTGGCAGATGAGGTGGCCGTGGGCAAAGGGCAGGTGGCCGTGGGGCAAGGGCAGGTGGCCGTGGGGCAAGGAGAGGTACCAGTGGGGCAAGGGCTGCAGAGGGATGACCAGCTGCTGCTGCTGAGACTGCTGCAGCAGCAGCATGCGCAGCAGCAACAGCAGCAACAACGGCTGCAACAGCAACAGCAGCAGCAACGGCTGCAACAGCAACAGCAGCAGCAACAGCAGCAGCAACAGCAGCAACAACGGCTGCAACAGCAACAGCAGCAGCAACAGCAGCAGCAACATCAACAGCAACAGCAGCAACAACAGCAGCACCAGCAGAATCAACAACAGCAGCAGCAACGGCTGCAGCAGCAGCAACAACAGCAGCACCTGCAGCAACAACAGCAGCAACAACGGCAACAGCAGCAGCAACAACAGCAGCAGCAGCAACAGCAGCAACAACAGCAGCTGCAACGGCGGCAACAGCAGCAACAACAGCAGCTACAACGGCAGCAACAGCAGCAACAACAGCAGCAGCAGCAAGGCACACCACCGCGCAGCCCTCTCACCGCGCTCTCCCTGCGCTCAACTCTCCCCTCCGCCTCCCCTCCTCTGGCCTCACAGCCCCCTGCCCTCCCTACCACGCCCCGCGTCCCTCTCGCAGCCCCTCCCCCCCCTCCGCTCCATGCTTCAACCCCCCCTTACCACCCTTACCCTCAAACCGAAGTCTCCTTACCTCCCCCACAACCCCCTGCGCCTGCTTCCATTGCAGCATCTCTCCCGGTCAGCAGCACAGCGCCTGCCCCAGGAGTCACCTCCACGTTCGCCCCAGACACCGCCTCCCCCACTACCAGCCGAAACCGCACCCAGGAACCCAGCAACAGCCAGTGCGAGAATCAGGAAGAGAGCGGGAGTGCGAGGGAGGGCCAGGGGGGTTTGGAGAGTGGCGTTGAGGGAGGGGGCCAGGGGGGTGCGCGTGGCGGGAACAGCAGCACGGCGGCACTGGCGCTGTCGCTGTCGTGTGTGGCGCTGCGCCTCGTGCTGCAGCTGCAGGAGGCTGCCAGGGCGGAGCAGCAGGGGGGGGACGGAGTGGAGGAGAAGCAGGCAGCAGCAGGTGCTGCTGGGGAGGGAGATGGAGGGAATGGGTCGGAGCGGTTTGGTGAGGGAGTGGAGGCAGCAGCAGGTGGAGGTGTGGAAGCAGGTGGAGCAGGAAGCAGGGAGGAGTATGGAGGGGGGGAGGCAGGCAGGCAAGAGCAGTACCGGTATGGCCCAGCTCACAGCGCCCCTGAGATGTCCACCCTCACTGCAGCTGCCGTGCCCACTGGCTCATCCATGGCATTCCCTGGTGCTTTCCTGCAGGCGGGGGGCATGTGGGAGGGTGCAGGCGGTGTGAGGAGCAGAGCGGATGCTGTGGGCAGCAGCACAGGGGCACCACCTCCCAGCCCCACGGACTCTCATGCACCCTGCAGTGCTGCCAGGCGTGTGGATGTGGAGCTGCGCCTCTGATCTCCCCCTCATGCTTCGCATGCTGCGGTGCACTAAGCCTGTCAGTAGTCACGTGTCTACCTCACATGTTAATACCACCAGGCACTGCGCTGCTGCCAGGCGCGTTGATGCGGAGACCGTCCTCATGCTGCCTTGTGCCAGCCCCGTGCTTGGATGTGCCAGACCTGACTCGCACCGGTCGATTTTCTCTTGCCTGCTTCTCGGCTCTGAATTGAGCTTTCGTCATCTTCACTCTCACCCTGTTCAGTTTATTGCCTCCGTTCTTCTCCTTTTCACTCTTCCTGGCTCCGTTTCCGTGTCAGTTGTCACTTGTTTTTTTTGCCATATGTTGGTACCACCATTCTTTCGTGAGAGCTCCATAGGTTTCATCATTTTTTTAATATATACATTACAGTCTATAATTTATAATAAATACATCGAATGCTGGTTGCATGCCGTCTATTGACAAGCTTCTAGCCCTTCAGAGCAGCATACGCGATACACATGGCAAGCATGACACCTAACCAGCCAGCCAGCAATGCGCACTGCTCATCCCCCCCCAGCTCAGCTTGCAACAGCCTCCCCCGCAAGCGAAGCGTCCATGCGCAGCGCGGCTCGCACGGCTGGCGCCACGGGGTACTCCGCTTCCGCGGGCAGCAGCCTCGCCGCTTCCTCCGCCCTTCCCTCCCGCACGCCCAGCCGGTGCACCTCGCGGAACAGCTCCGTGACGTCAGCGATGCGCTCGATGTACTCGCCTCGCGCGTACGCAGCAGCGACGTCGCCTCTCAGCCCGATTTGGATGGAGCGGTAGTTGAGGCGATTCAACAGCAGGTCGCGCTCGGGATCCCACTGCACAACCACCTCGCTCGCATTTCTGCGATTGTTGCTGTCGGGACGGGTTCCCTGAATATGCGACTCGTTGTAACTCGCCCTCGGGGCATTCGTTGACGAGTCGTTGCTCTGCTCTTTTGCTAAAACTGCAGATTCAAGCATACGGTCGAAGCATTCTCGTTTTAGATCTACGGCCAGGATTCGCTCCTGGCCCGCGTCTTTGAAGGAGTACCCCGCGCGGTACGCCATCCAGCAGAAGGACGGCTTGATCCACGTCATCCGGCCGAGCTTGAATCCCGGGCTGCTCGCAAAATTGTTGCTTTCCGCGGCGGGAGCGGCGATGGTGTGGCTGTACGCCTGATACACGCGCACCGTCGATTCGGTGAACGACGCGCGAATCTGACGCTCTGGGCGGCTCGCCCGCTCAGAAGCGCCGGAGGGCGAGAGGGCTGTGCTAGGCGGTGTGCTTCCGGCGTGCGAGGACGAGGCTGAACCATTTTCGTGTGCCATTTCTATGCGACGAACAATGTTTGGAGATAATCTAGTAAAACCAGGGCGGATGTACTGTCAGGTTCTCAACAATGCGAGTTGTAAGGACAATTTAAAAAATGGCGTGAGCAGGGATGAGCAAAGCATTAGAACGAAGAGAGGACCGATGCTGAGACGAGCAATGTCGAGAAAACCTAAATACTTCTTAGAACGATGCGCGAATGGCGCACGCTTGAGCACAGGAGAATGGGGTTGGACAAGCTTCCTGCGACGGAGGCGTGCGACGCACGAAACTGGTGGCGTGGCAGTCATGGCACGAAAGGTTTGACTCGAAGTCGAGAATGAAAAGTGGAGATTTTTTTTTTGGTATATTGTAATTCCTTACTGCACACTTCAACATCGCGTACAAGACCAGCCGTTCTTCACCCGTTACAGCTAATGGAGCTTCCGCCGCCTTCGCGCACTGCATTTACCAAACCATGCATCGCTGGCCTGGCCGAGTCGGCCTACGCCTCGGGACTAGCCCGAACCTCGATGCCAGCATTGCATTAGCTAGCTCGCACGCACCGCGTTACCGTTTGCATTTTCGATTTATAAGTATTCGCTCATGCATTCGCTCATACTTTGTACTCGTTTGCCAACTTAGTGCAATCCTCGCTACCTCGATACATTGCACCCGTAACACTTGGCTATCAGGGCCACTTTCATTTCGGACCGCGCATTTTCGCAACCAGCAGAAGCAAACTTTTGTTTTTTTCACTCGAAGGTGATGTTATAACTAAGAATCGTAGTGGATAGGATAAGGTTGCCAAGTATATGGGAGAGAACTGTGAAGTCTCTGTAATGACCTTGTTAATAAATTGAAAGAGAACAAGATGATTATAAGATAGGAGTACAAGAGTATAAATAGAAAGCCTAGCTAGCCATGTATTCTGAGGGGTACATTCCCTTATTAACTGAATTGCATTGCTACAGTAACCCGCGACTATTGCCATTCTAGACAGTTACCATGTTGCATTTCGCAACTGCCTTGTGCGGTTACTGGGCAGTCAAGGGTCACGACCGTTGACTGTCTTCGACTGTTGACCTTCGGGTGACCCTCGAACTTCCGCGTGCTCTATACGAGCTCATGCGGTACTGGTACAAGCACCTGCTTCGCTATGATGAGATGCGATAGTGGAGAGTCTTCGGGAATGCTTGTGATAACCTTTCGGTTATCCCAACACTCCCCTTGATTCCTGAAGGTGAGCCACGTGGGATTTCTTGGTGATCCCGCAAAGGTTGGCGCAGTGCTGGAACTGTTGACGTGGCAGTTTCTTTGTCAGAAAGTCGGCTGCCATGTCACCAGTCGGGCAGTACGTGAGCTTGACCTTGCCCTTGTCGATTTCGTCCTTGACGAAGAAGTAGCGAAGGGCGATGCGTTTTGTGCGATTCACGAAGCCGGGTTTGTTTGCGATCTTGATCGCACTCTGGTTGTCGCAGAGTAACGTGAAATGCCCGTTCATCGTTACTTTCGCTTCCTGCAGGAGCTCCATCAGGTACAGTCCTTCGCGAACAGCTGCGCTGGCGGCGATGAATTCTGCTTCGGCTGACGAAAGGGCGATGAGTTCCTACTTCTGAGAGTTCCATGAGATGAGCCCAGCAGGTTGGAGTTGAAAAATAAATCCTGTGCGGGAGCGTCTGTTGTCAACATCTCCCGTGTGATCAGCGTCTACTAGCCGTGCAGCTGCAGGGTGGCCGTTAAGTTAGCTTCGTAGGTGAGGCCGACGTCGGGAGTAGAGATGAAGTATTGGAGTGCGCGGCGCAGATCCTGTAGATTCTCCCCTTCAGGTCGCTTCATGTACTGAGCGAGCTGGCTTGCGACGTAGGAGAGATCGGGCCGGCACGTGACGGCGGCAAAGAGAAGGCACCCAAGCTGCTGCTGATAGAGCCGATGATCCTCTAGAGAGAGGGGCGAGGTGTCTGCTTCGTGGTTAGGAGGAGGAGTGCGAAACGGGGTGGAGAGGTTGATTGGTGCGATGCCGAACTTCTTCGCGAGTGTTTCGGCGTACTTGGCGGCGGAGAGGTGAATGGAGGAGGCAGACTGGGTGATGTTGAGTCCGAGGAATTGTGTGACGTCGTGGTTGATGGTGACTTCCAGGTGCTCCTTGATGTCTGCTTCGAACTGATCCAGTAGCTCCGTGTCGTCACCGGTGTAGAGGAGGTCGTCGACGTAGGCGACGAGGAGAATGAACTTGCCGCGCGACTCCTTCCTGTACATGGGGTAGCTGTTGGAAGCCGAGGTTTGTTAGCACCGTGTGGAGGTACTGCTGCCACAAGCGAGGTGCTTGCTTGATCCCGTAGAGGGATTTCTGAAGCAAGCAGACGGCGCCGTCGTTCTCTTCGAAGGCATGTGGCTGCTCGACGAAGATGATTGCGTCGACCGGAGCGTATAAGAATGCGCTGCCGACGTCGATCTGACGGAGTGGGCGCTGCTTGACGGCTGCGATGCAGATGAGGATTCGGACGGAGGTGTGCCGTCCGACTGGTGCGTAGGTGAGATCAAAGTCCAACATGTGTGTTTGCTCGAAGCCGCGTACCACCCATCGCGCTTTGTATTTGTCAATGGAGCCGTCCGCCAGTGTTTTGATGCGGAACACCCATTTTCCGCTGAGAATTTTCCTCCCCTTTGCAGATGTCCACGGAACCAGCTTCCAGGTGCCACGGTTTTTGAGCGACGCGATTTCTTTGGCCATGGCTGCCTTCCATTTCTCACTGTCGGGGCCGGAGAGAGCCTGGCGAACAGTGGTGGGTTCCTTGGGGGAGGAGTGGCGAACAGCGACGGCGAGCCCGAGGATGCGGAGACCAGTTTCGTTAGTCTTTTCGTAGTGCAGACGGTCGTAGTCGTGGAAGCTGGTTACTTCGACCACGTCGTCGTCACTATCGTTGCCGGGGCGGATGGAATCCTGTGAGGTGTTTGGTTGTGGTAACTCGGCATCTGGTGATTGGCGGGCGTTGCTGTTGAAGTTGTGAGCTTCGCGAGTTGTATCATCGGGGTCAGGTTGGTGTAGAGGGATGAAAGTTGGAGTTTGGAATGGGCTTGTAAGGGGGATGTTAGGTGCGCTGTCAAACTGGCTGACATTTGTTGCGTCCACATCTTCCGCCAGGTCAGCTTCATCGTGTGGAGTGGCGAAGCTGCGGTGTCCCTCGAAAACCCTTTCTGGAACCGTGTCAGCTTCGCGGTGTTCGTTGAATAGTGGCAGAGTCAGCTTCTCGTAGAAGATGCAGTCACGTGATTTCGTCACTTCGTGTGTCGCGTAGTCCAGCACGATCCACGCCTTGAATTCCTTTTCGATTCCAAGGTGGATGCCCCAGCGAGCCCGGTCAGTAAACTTTCCGGTCCTTGCTGTGTGCGGTCTGTACTGTACCATGCAGCCAAACACCCGAAGCAGACGCGTGTCTGCTTTTCTGCCCGTCCACGCCTTGTAAGGAGAGTTGTTGTTCTCGAGGCTTCGGGATGACAGCAAGTTGTGCAGCCGGACTGCATGGTTCATGGCGAACGGCCAGTAACGAGGTGGGATGGCCGACTGCTTCATCAGGGCCCTCATCCTGGTGGCGAGGCTCCTGTTTGTCCGTTCTGCTACTCCTTGCTGCTCGTGAGCGTAGGGCAGGGACACCAGATGTTCAATCCCCTTCTTCCGGAAGAGCTCCTTGAACTCGTC